TCACAAAAAAATAGAAAATTTCTGACTAATCCTGAAGCTCTGATTGTCAACATTGGGGACTTCTTTGAGGTACAAGTGCCCATTTTAAGGATTATCCTCACAAAAAAGAGAAAATTTCTGATTTTTTTTTCCATGAAAGATCCTCGAAAGAGACGGTTTTGATCATTGAAATACAATTTAGATCTAAAATATATTTAACTTTCTCAAATTAGGATATCCTTATACCATGTGTATAATCTGGTCATATTTTTTTTATATGATATGTTCGTAGGCCTTGAGCAATGGCATTTACAAAAGCATCAAGCACCGAGTGGTTACCAGCCAAAAAGTTGAGAGGTTTTCTGTGGCCTACTTCTACTGTCCTTCCTACGATGTGGTCATCAAGAGCTGCGGTAAGCCAGCACTTTATAGGCAGTTCACGTTGAGGGAATATAAACAGCAAACTGAAATTGACGTTCGGGAAATTGGTGAGAAAGTAGGGCTCTCAAGATTTCTCCTTTGAAAAAAGATGTTTTAAAAATGCAGGAAAATGTATTTGTACTTGAAATGTAAAACTAGACAATTATAATTCTGTGTTGGCGTAAGTAGTCGGCTCGATTCAAGTTATGATGTATAAGCCCTACATCAAAGTAGTACAATAATAATTTACAATTTAAAGGTAGATAGGTGGTCCATTATCGATGCATTTTGAGTTAAAATCTTACATCTAGAGGTTTATTGGGCCTAACATAGCCCATTGTATGAACCTAAATAATTAAGATGGAAACAATATCGATCGATGCTTAGACTTAGTAGTGGCTTTCAAATTGAAAACATCTTTCTATACATTATGACTTTTTATTGATAAGTTACATTAAGTTTTTTTTAAACCAAAGAGAATCACGTATCCAATAATAATTTACAATTTAAAGGTAGCTAGGTGGTCCATTATCGATGCATTTTGAGTTAAAATCTTACACCTAGAGGTTTATTGGGCCTAACATAGCCCACTGTATGAACCTAAATAATTAAGATGGAAACAATATCGATCCATGCTTAGTAAATAATTAAGATGGAAACAATATCGATCCATGCTTAGACTTAGCAGTGGCTTTCAAATTGAAAACATCTTTCTATACATTATGACTTTTTATTGATAAGTTACATTCAGTTTTTTTTAAACCAAAGAGAATCACGTATTAACTTGGCAACAAGCGGATTGCAATGATTGAAACTAGCTCGCTCTAGGAGAAATAAATAAATTTTTGTATATATGAGCTAATTTAAATATTTTTTTGGGGTGCCCATTAGGATTGTTAGACCCTTGATTTGTTCCATGTCTGCTCTATGCCAGAGCTCGTGTGTGAGGTGTTCTTATGCGGTAGCTCTCTCACCAGAAATTGAGGCCTCCGTATTTGGGCCTCAACTGATTTCATTATTTGTGAGTGAGCTGCCGCATGAGAGACTCACCCAAGACTTTCTCATAGAATTATAAGTACTTTTTTTTATTTGTTTTTTTAATTTAAAAACCACTCTTTTTTAGAAGGAGACTAGAATGAAGGGTTATTATTAGGAGTATAATAAGGGGGTTCTTAATATCGGTTCAATCTAGTAAAGTTATTATTGGACTGTTGGATTGAGCCTCACTATAATTTGTTTACAGAAGCCCCCTCTTTTCTATGTGTTTTTTCCAGAAGTAAATACATTTATACAAAGCCCAAAGACGAGGAACTGAACCTGGCCCAAACTGTAACCCAACAACAAAAATGAACAACCCGGGTTAAAGATCATAAGCCCAAATCGGGAATACAAATGAAACGACCTAAAGAAAAACAGTAGAACAGAATCCTCTCTCCGTCTCAGTTGATTTGATTTTCAGGTATGCTCTCTCTGGCTTTCTTTCTCTCTCCACTTGTGTTTTGATTTCAACTTTCATAATAGATAATTGGAGGAATGGAGTTTGGCAAGCTTAACTGGTACTCGGAATATTGTGCTTTGATGAAATTGTTTTGGGTTTCAAGGAATTTTGGAAATGGGAAATCAGTCTTGTTAGAAATAATTCCCCTTATTTCTTTGAAAAATTGGAGCTTTGGGATTGAAAGTGAAGGTTTCAATTCCGATTTGCAAAATTTTATTGCTTTGTTAACTGAAAGTAACTCGTACAATAGGGATGATGAATTATGCTGCTGTCTTTAATTTTGAGATTGTTGGAGAAATACACAATTTTGTGAAGTTGAGAGAGACGGGACATATGCTTTGAAAAATGTATGGGGTTTAATGTTTTCTGTTTCCATAAAAGAATGAGTTAGTAAAATGGCAAAAAGATTGGTGAATTTGAGAAGTGAGGTATTCTTCAAACTGCCTTGTACTTTTCTCATTCTTGTTTTGCTAGGAGAATTTCACTTGTATTCTTCAAACGAAACTTTGGATGATTTAGATACACGTATTCTCTTCTTTGATATTTTCCTCTAATAAATCAAACAACTTTCATCAACCTTTTAGCAAGAAAAAAGAAACATATCAGTTTCCATATATAACAAAACAAAGAAAAAAGAAAAGAAGGCATCACCATCAGATTAGGAGAAACTCTAAGAACGGGCATTCCTTTGGCATAAAATGGAAGAAGAAAAAGTAAATAGTAGAGGAAATTTGTATGGTGTTGCGACGCAAAGATACTGGTGGTGATAGATATATTTATGCAACAAAAATATACTAGTGGCAGTCATCTTATCAACATATCTTACATTTCATTATCATTTCTCTTGGAATATAAAATCACTTTGTCTGATTGTAAAAGTTCTGCTTATGCTCAAAGTTAGAAATCTATATGACAGTTTTCTTTTAGTAATTTAAAGTTGTGTTTCAATGTTCTTGATATGGATCATTATTTGTGCCCCCTCAATCTTGAATGGTTGTTTTCGGTCTCTTATTGGAAGTGGATTAAAATGGGGTACTCTGGGCTCTTGTTACAGCAGTGCTGTGTGTAATGTTCCTGCTTTTCCATGTTTGTTGTACATATATTTTCTCTGTCCTTTTAATTGTTTGTCCGAGCCTTCATTCCAAAGTTATCCAAAAACATAAAGCACTACTCTATGGCGTCTTCTTTAACCACTCATTGGAGTCTTCTTTAACCTGGAAAAAGTAACTTTCTTTCAAAACGCAGTCGAATTTATTTTCTTCAACCTGGACATAATCCTTCAACCACTCTATGGAGTCTTGTTTTATATTTTTATTTTTGTGTTTGCAGACTGAAAGCATAAATCAGAACTTGCTGCAGAATTTTGCTGGTAGAGATGTCTGGGATTTCAGGATATAGGAGCCTTGCACCTAAAACAAAGAATGCTATAGTTGCTGGGGGGCTGTCAGCTTTTGTCTTTGGAGTATATTTCTACACCATGAGAGCTGTTGGAGGCACAGATGAATTGCAAGTGGCTATAAATAAGTTTGAGGAGGAAAAAGGTCAGAAGGAGGCTGAAGCAAGCATGCCATCAAAGGTTTGATCTTATAAATCAGTTGTGGAATAATGTAGTAGCCAAAGACAAGGTACCCCCTACTTTGAAAGACATCGTCGTAGCCCGTTATTTATTTTTCCATATGAATATGCAATATTTTTCTCCTTGATAGTACATTTTATAAGTGTAGCATGTTCCCAAACCCCTTGTTTCTGATAACCTCATCCACCATTTCATGTTATTGAAGGAACCCGAAAAAGAGTTGTTATAAATACTTATTTTTTATTTGGTGTAATAAATAATGAGTTTGATGTATTCACATGCAAGATTCTATTCGTCAGCACAACATAGGATTCCCTTAACATCCTCGACTTTGCATATTTTATATGTTTAAGTTTGTTAGGGTTCATTGACCTAAAAAAACAAGCACAAAAAGTGAGAGTAGGTTTTGGTCTCAAGCTAGTAGCCAAACCGATCCAATTCAATCTATTTGTTGATTGGTTTTATTTGTGAGGATTGTATTTTTAGTGTTTGTATTAATCTTTGCTGTCTTTTTTTTTGTTGTCTTTAAAAGAGATATCCACATCCACAATTGCAATTTTTGTTTTTTTAAAAGAACCTGGGAGCTTATCTTTTCTTACTTACAATAAATTAAGGACTTATAGCACTTTTGGAAGTTTAAAATATAATTTAAAAACGAAGAAAGTGCCCAAGGTCTTTTCCCAGTGAATTTAAAAGAGGATCCAAGCAATGTCCAGGAAGTTGCTGGAGCTTGCAACTTGGGGATCCAACCTGACTTTTGGCCTGATTAGGTGGGTATAATTAGGTAAAACCTACCCAAACTCAACCCGACCTCAAACTCAACTCGATTATTTTTTGGGGTGGCATTGAGGTCTAGCTCGATTGAACTCTGGTTATATCTCCTAATTACAGTTTCCCTGTTAGGGGTGGGCATGATTTCGGGTTAATTCAACCGAATCGTTCAACTCGATTAGAGTGGTTTGGGCTATCTTAAAAATGAGCGGATCTTGGGTTCAAAAAATTATAAACTGCTATGTCGAAACCAAAACTTAAAAATAGGTTTAATTTGAAGTTAACTCGATTGAACCGCATAACTCAATCACAAAAAAATTGAGTTAAGTTGAGTTGACCTAATACTGAGGACGTCCAAAAAATCATAAATAGTAAGAAATCGAATTGGATTACGAGTTAAGACTAAAATCAACCCAATCTAACCTTCTCTGCAATGAAATTGGCAACCCAAATCCAACCTGAATCAAATCCAAAATTGCCTTGAAAGGAACCAAATTCGAAACCAAACCCAAAATTGTAAAGGATGAGGTAGGATTGAGTTGACCATCCAATCCAATTCGTCCGAGGTACACCCAATAGCAAGCTAGTCCATTAAATAATGGAGAAAGCGGCCCACACGCCTCCAAGAAAGTTCCTATGGTTTTACCGTCGAAGACTCAGACAAATTCAAGTCAATGCACACAAAAACCAAAACACGTACCAAAAAACACTTTTTTAAAGAAATAAATACCAACACGCACACCCACTCACCAAGGAATATTAATAATATAATATATTTATAGTACTTAATAATTGCCCAACACACAGACAGTCTCAAATCATCTCCTTTCACTCTGTTTCTCTCTAAACCCTGGACCTTTTATTTACATCAATTTTTCCTTGGGAGATAAAAAATGGCAGAATCAAGCGGCTGTTGCCGGTGCTGCTTCAGCTTCATCTTCACTCTTGGCCTCACAGCCCTCTTCATGTGGCTCAGCCTTCGCACCTCAAAACCCACCTGCAAAGTCCGCTCATTTTACATTCCTGCCCTCAACAGGACACTAAACGACACCACAAACAAGACCCTCTACGTCACCCTCAGGCTGGAGAACCGCAACAAGGACAAGGGAATTTACTACGATGCCCTCAACCTCACTTTCAGTCTGCCCAACGCCAGTAAGCCCATAGCTACTTCTGCTGTGTCCAGCTTCTACCAGGGGCATCAGAAGAAGGCCACAAAAGATGTGGAGCCCAAGGAGGTCAACTGGACAGCTGTCTCCAATGCGACCTACCCTAATGGGACTGTCCATTTCAGGGTGGATTTGACCACCGCTGTGAGGTTCAAGATCATGTTCTGGAGGACCAAGAGGCACAGGGTGATGGTTGGGGCAGATGTGGTGGTCAACGCCTCTGGGGGTTACGTCAACCCCAAGCACAAGAAGGATATCAAGCTCTCTGCTGCATCAGATCATCAGATGATTAAGTGCCTTCTTGGGCAGGTGGGGGTTTTTGCCAATTTGTTGGTCTTGATTTTGCTCAATTTGTGATTTTGTTCCACTGGCTGAATTGCATTTCAGTGTTATTTTTTATTTTTGATTATTATTTTTCTGTTCTTTTTTTAACTTGAGAAGGAAGAAATTGGTGCTAACTTTTTGTACTAAAATATTGAAATGGAAGTTCAAATTTTTGGTGGCTATTTATTTGGCTTGTCTGAATGATCTGATATTTTGAATTTTGTTGTTTTTCATCACTTTTTGATGTGTTTTTCTTTCATTTTTGTTCCCGGAGTTAATGAAGTGTGGTGGCAATTTCCGATACGACCCCGACTCGGGTGGGAAAATGAATTGGCTGGAAAATAATGATGCCAACATATAGCTTTTGAAAGCGAAATAGTATTCCAATAAGCAAGATATAGCTTTGAAAAATTCCTGCTGTTTTCTTTGATAAACTTTGTTAAAGTAGGTTGGTCCTACATAACAAGTAAGAACGTGGTTAGATTTCAACAAGATATCAACTTGTGATGTTCTTGGAATCAGATTTCCATGCTGTGAAGGCCAGACATTAAGTGGAGCCATTGCACCACTTTACTCAAATTTTAGGGTTTAAATGGCAATTCAATCTCATGATTCTCATTTATGATCTCATCTGCTTGCTGATTTTCATCTACAATCTTGAATTTTTGAATGAGAATTTTCTTGTTTCCCAATTATTCAAAACTAAACCAAGAAACAAGGTAAAATCCCAGCTTACCACTGTGCTGCAAATGGCTTTAACATAACTATAAAATTCAGAAAATATGAGCAAAGCCTAAATAATATCCATCTTCCATGTAAAAAGCAACCTAAATACAAACTCCTCATATTGACAAAAGTTCATGTAACTAATTCAAAACCAGTCTACATATCATATGCAACATCCTTAACGCTTTGGTCACCATTTCTCTGGTTTTTACCTGGGAGGTGAACTACCAGTTTGTAGTTTTATCTGAGAGTAGTATGCTCCATTGCGTCCCAAGGAAATCAATTCATTGTGTGAACCTTGTTCTGCAACCTTACCATTCTTGATCACAGAAATGGAGTTGGCCTTCTGTATCGTGGATAGCCGGTGAGCAATGACTATACATGTTCTACTGACCATCATCTTCTCGAGTGCTTCTTGAACTGCTTTCTCCGACACGCTATCAAGCGCGCTGGTAGCCTCATCCAGTAGGAGGATTGACGGATTCTTCAGTATTGCCCGAGCTATTGCAATCCTTTGTTTCTGACCTCCTGATAGCTGAACTCCTCTCTCTCCACAATATGTATCATAACCATTATCCATTCCACTGCAAAATTTAGAAAAAGACAGAAATGTTAACATATTGTGAAGCTGCAAATAAGCATAATCTTTTTGGTGTGTAACTTGTCAACTGTAATTTCATACCTTATGAATTCATGAGCATTGGCCAGAACTGCAGCCCTCTTGATATCAGATTCTTTTGCGTTCTCTTTCCCGTATGCAATATTTTCACGGACAGTTCCAGCAAACAGGGTAGGCTCCTGACTAACCAATGCTATACGTGATCTCAACATTCTCAAGTTATAGTTTTTAATATCCTGTTCATCTATACAGACTGATCCCTTCATTGGATCATAAAACCTCTCAATGAGCCCAATAATGGTGGATTTTCCAGAACCACTCTGCCCAACTAGTGCCACTGTCTTGCCTGCATCAATTCTGAGGCTCAGTCCTTTCAGTATCATCTGGTCAGGTCTTGTTGGATATGAAAAGAAAACATTTCTGAACTCGACACGACCCTTTATCCTCTTCTTAATTTCCAGTCCCCATTTGTTATCCGGATCGATCTCACTTTTCCTATCTAAAATGGCAAACACCGATTGAATGGCACTGTTTCCTTTAGATATATCAGAAGTCATGCTACCAGCTTCTGCAATGATATAAGCGGTAAATAGAAGTATCAAAAACGCCTGAAATAGATGCTTTGGAGTTATCTCCTCTAGCACCAGTAGCCTCCCACCATACCAGTAAGCTAAAGCTGTAGCAGCAGTGTTGAAGAATTGGGAGCTAAACAAGCCAGCACCTGAAACATAGGACTGTTTGATACTCTCCTTCTTAGGACCTTTCAAGGTTGCACTAAACAGCCCCAAAATTCTTTTCTGAGAAGAAAAGGCAGTTATAGTTCTGTGGTTGATGACAGCTTCGCTTGCCAATTGGCTCCCTTGCTTTTGAGCTTTTCGGGCTTTTTCTCCCATACTCTTCATTAAGATACTCCTTGCATAAAAGCTCCCAATGACTATTGGCTGCACTGCTATCATCACAAGGGCTAGCCTCCATGTCAGCACAAGTCCTACTGCATAAGCAAAGGTAGCCCCGAAAACTGCTTGGACCAGCAATGACATCCTGTCCCCAACAAGAGATCGAACCATGTTTACTTCGGTGGCTAACCTTGCACAAATGGCTGCACTTGTGTTCTCATCTTGATCATACCACCCAATCTCAAAAGTCATCAGCTTTTCAAGTAGTTGCTCTCTTACCCTTGTGGTCAACTTTTCTCCCATAATTGCAAAATTGTAGTGTTGGAGGAGATTGGTGAAGAAGTTGAAAACACCAATGCCTAAGAAAACAAGGGACAAGACCCTGGATTGGGACTTAATTTCAGTTTTGTCCTGGAGGAAGTAAACCGATATAAGTGATCCGACACAGTAGGCGTTTATAGGTTGTACTGCCCCAGAACCTATTGCACCCAAGCACCCAAGTAAGGCTTGTCCCCATTCTGGTGCATTCATTTTCAGCAAACGCCATTGTGAAGGAGGAGGATAAGTTGGGCGCTTGAAGTCTTCATCATCACTTTCATCATCAGGATCATATTGGACAGAGAAGGAGTAGGGTGTCCCCATGGCCATAGACATCGCTGTGGGGTTGAACGCTGGAGAAGGAGCAGTTGATCTGTAACTAATGGGGCTTGGTGTAACGCTCCTGCTACGGCGAGATTTTTCATATGATTGAGAATTGGAATCATCAGCAACCTCATTTTGGCTTGCCATCTGCTGCATTTGTACCATCTTGAAGTATTCACCTCCCTGCTCCCCCTTCATTTGCATCAGCTCATTGTGTGAGCCTGATTCAACTACTTTCCCAGCTTGAAGAACCACAATCAAATTTGCTGTTCGGATTGTGGAAAGGCGGTGGGCAATTATGATTGTTGTCCTCCCTTTTGACGCCTGATCGATTGCCTCCTGCACTACTCTTTCAGACTGTGCATCCAGTGCACTAGTTGCTTCATCAAGAAGTAGGATTTTTGGATCCCTTAGCAGAGCTCTCGCTATAGCAATTCGCTGCTTTTGCCCGCCAGAAAGTTGGAACCCAAATTGACCAGCCTGGGAAAACCAAACATCATGTTTTTGTAAGTAGAAATCACAGGAACAATGTCTGAGAAGTTCATAATTATTTTCAAACAAATCAACATTAGACAATTCAAAATTGAATTAATTCATTTCCTAGGTAGGTAAGTTATTCTAAGAATAGTTACAACTGAATGTCATTAGACTGTTGTAGCATGATGACTGTTATGGAGGCTAAGGGGCATGTTCAACTGAATTCCATTCGTGTTCCAAATCTCGGCTAACAGATTGTTTAGGTAAATTTGTACATGCCTTAAAACAATATATCATGATAGCGTTGGGATCCCAACAACTATCTCAATTTAGAACACTGATGTCATACAACTATTTTTAACTCCGTTTTTGTTGCTGTTGCATAAGAAAGAAATATTATTCAGGCATTGAAAACTCTCAGTTAAGTGTTGCATGTTTCTTGGAGACCTTAAAAGAAAAAGAAGAAAGCCAAAAATAAATTCCAAATAGTAGAAGAAAGCATACTTGAGTTTCATATCCGTCTGGTAACTTAACGATAAAGTCATGTGCATTTGCAGCTTTAGCCGCATTTATTACTTCTTCCATTGAAGCTCCTTCCTTTCCGAAAAGTATGTTCTCTTTTAAGGAAGTTGCAAACAGAACAGGTTCCTGATTAACCAGACCCATTTGGGATCTCAACCATTTTGCCTGAAGTCTTCTAATTTTGTGTCCATCCAAGAGTATTTCTCCTTCAATAGGGTCATAAAATCTCTCAAGCAATGCAATGATTGTTGACTTGCCAGAACCACTGCCCCCAACTAGACCTACACTCTTACCGGCTGGAACCTTAAGATTCAAGCCTTGTAAGACTGAGGTATCAGGTCTTGATGGGTAACTGAAGTAAATGTCTTGGAATTCTATTTCTCCTCTGACATGTGATAAAGCCTTCCCTCTTCTGTCTTCAGTGTCGATACTAGGAACACGATCAATCATTTCAAGAATTCGAGTTGTAGCTGCCAATGCCTCTGTGATAGCAGTCAAGTTTGGGAGAGCACTTAAAATACTCCTGCAATACCAATGATAAATTATAAGTTCAAGATAGAAATGCAATGCAGTGGCAGTAAGCGATAATTAGTTCTTGAAAAAAGTTAACTCACAGGCCTCCCATGAGGACATTGAAACCGGCTACAAAAACATGCCCACCATCTTCTCCCTTTTGAGTAACCAAATAAGTGCCAACCCAAGCCTGAAACCCCCAACCAATATAAATGATTCCCATGCTTCCCATCAGCAATCCCTTTACAAGACCTACCTTGATTCCAAGTTTAGTAACTTTCTGAAGTGAAGTGCTGAACCTATTTAGTGTCTGATTTTCTCCAACATAAGAGTATACAGTTCTTACTGAAGAAATTGCTTGTTCGGCAAATCCCCCTGCAATTCCATAAGCTTCAATCCCCTTCATTACCAGGCCCATCAGAATCTTTCCAAATATAAGTCCTGGAGCTATGAACATGATTGAAAGCGGCATAGCAGCCAATGTCAACCTCCATGACAGCGTGAAGGCAAATATGTGGCAAAAGAAGAAAGTTGACATGTATGTCAGGCAGTCAGGTATCTACATCAAGGAAAGGAACACATTTAGCTAAATGGATGTGAACGAAAACAAGCCTGTTAATTCCTTGCATTTAACTGATAATTTATCACCAAATTCATGGGCATTCTGACTATGCTTCATTTGAGCCAAGAGAAGCTCTCAAGGATATGTTGTTTTGATACTGCTTTTAATCTTTAGGTGGATTTCTTATGAAATTAACTCTAACCTTCTCGCATAAGGCAACTTGGACTGCGTTGGCATCAGAGGAGATGATTGAGATAACTTGGTATGTTGTTGAAGAACCGGCAGTCTGGGTGTCAAAGAAGGAAACTTCTTGTCTAAGAACAGATTTCAGATATTCCATTCTCATTCTGGAAGTCTGCCTCTCCGCTGTTCGTGTCCAACATAACCCTTCTGTAGAAGTAGTTAGCATGAAAATAGGTCAGGTTCCTGTTCTTATCAAAATCTTTAATGTTTCCTTCTCCCAAAAATATGCAAGATAGATCAACAGAAAAATTTACGTACCAACAAATGCTGCAAGTCCAACTCCAATGGCAACATAGAAGAGCCTGAGTGCAAACTGGCAAAATGAGAATCAAAGTTAGCACGTTCACTGCAAATGCTCAAAAGACATTACGACGCAAGAATCAAATTATCCAGGCCATAGAAAATCTCAATAGTTTTACAAATCCCTGGACCGACCAAACCAAACACCGCTTTATCTGTTTCTCAACTTATATGCTCCTATTCTAGCTCTCAAAAGTTTCTCTCTCCTTCCTCCACAATCAGAGAGAGGGAAGCAGACAGAGGGTTAGTATTTCTGAGTTAACCCTGTTGATATATTGAAAAGCTTACTTTTCATTATCAAATTCATGTTCTTCAACGTTAAATTATGTGCCTGTTGCAGCATATTGGGTCAGGGGTGCCATTTTTCTTCTAACCAAAAACAGGTAAAATGCCTTGTACTGCAGAATTACTGAGAAAGTTAACTATGCTTACCTTGTCTACATCAGCATTTGTCAAACCTCCTCCATTAGCTCTTCCATAAGAATTGATAACCTCACTGAGAATGTACATCATGAGAGGGTTCTGCAGTCCATCACCAATGCTGCCTAAAGTCCCAAACAACATCAACAGCTTGTCCGTGCCGTCTGCATAGCGAAACATGCTTTTTTTGAGCCCCATTTCTTGGAGGATTGAATGTACAGCTTTCAAAGCTCTAGACTTTATACAACTTCATCACCTATTTAACCTCAAAGTAATTTATTAATTTAATTTGGCAGAATATCGGCAGCTTGTTATCTGTTATATTGTCTTGTTTATGCACTTCTGCTGATGCTATGCAAATTGAGTGAATTACAATTATTGGGTTTTTTTTTCTTTTTAAAATAAACAAGCCGGCTATCTCATCTTGTATCTTGGCAAGCAATGAAGGCAAGCCAGAGTTACTATTC